TGTCTTTTCTTTTGTGTTTTATTAAGCGTTTATTTTGTTCCTAATAAACAGAGTTTGAAGACTCCATTATACAGCTACTTAAGCTGGTCAGGAAGTGATTTCAAGTATAGGTCCAGACAATTTTGGGAGACATTTGGTTATAGATGTGAAATTGTAATGTAATAAAAAGTTCAGGTAGTAATGAAGTTCAGCAACGAATCCTTTCTCAAGAAAATATCATGTTCATTCTATTTGTTCCCAAGTAAACCATCAAAGTGGAATGAAGATCAAAAGCATTAATCTAACTTAATAAAATTGTTATGTAAAATATTCCCTTTTCTCTCTGAAGCTGATATATTAAAATGAAGTGTGAATGAATAAAGTGTAGCTACATTTATAATATTAATTTCTATCATTATAGAGGAGTAATATAGTGTACCTTACTTATAGAGTCAAAATGCAGACATACAAATTCCAAACTGAAATCTCTAATCTTTAGGAGATTATGTTTAAAAGTGTATGAGACCTACAGGAGCATTATAAAACCAGCCATCCATACAGTTATCCAGTGACAGGAACAACAAAGATCAGCCTCCAGAACAGAAACCTGACTGGCTGAAGGCTCTGCCACTGGATGCACCAGGTCTCCTTCTCTGTGAACTCTGGTTTCCACTCAGTTCCACCTTCACATTAAAGGTCAACATCAGCACCACCAGAGAGGGCCACCAGGTTTGCATGCCTGATTGCAGTTTAAGCTGAGATAGAAATAACAAACTTGCCTGAAGTGGCACTGTCTCCTTTTTTATTTTCCTTTCTAAAAATAATATTTGGCCCATTGGTAGCATCCAAAAGTTAGAATGTCTCAGTGGAGATAAAATAACATTATGTCCAAGTTTTATCTGAGATAATCCACTGGGGTATGAGTGCAATGTCCTCTGGTTGAAATGTTATGAGGGTATCATTGTCTGAATTCCATTGGAATATCAAACCTTTGCAATAAACTTTTATATAATTTCAATTATTAAAAATCAGAAGAAATTCAGATAAAAAAATAGATCACCCAATGTACGTTTCACCTTTACTCTTTTACTCTTTTTTCTCAGTCTCTGTTT